TCGGACAGATGCTGCCGAGTGCAAAGGATCCAAGGCCACCCCTGAGCACACCAGGAGTGTACGAGATCCCTTGCTCATGCGGGAAAGTGTACATTGGAGAAACCGGGAGGAAAAACAGTACGCGGATCAAGGAAGCCCAGCGGTGTTCCAAATACGGTCACTCAGAACAGTCCGCCCTAGCTGAACACTGGATGGACACTGGACATACTATCCAGTACGACCAAGCCAGAATGTTGGCCAAATCTCAAGGGTATTTCGAAAGGAAATACCGAGAGGGTTTGGAAATCCATAAAAACCCTAACAACCTTAACAGGGACAGAGGATATCAAGTGAACCCCATTTGGAAAACCGTCCTCCCGGTTTTTTAATTGACCAGCTGATCAATTAAAACCATACGATTGTCTGACCCCCCCTTCCCCTTCCCCCGCCATCACAGGGGAAGACATATAAGGACAACCCCCAAACATCGGAGCTCAGAATTGGAGCTCATAGCCCTGAAGATGCAGACTGCAATGTTTGTGAAACGTCGGCGCAATGCTGAAACCAAACGCGGCATCCATCCGGAAGCCAACAATATCATTAATAATGGCCGCGAAAGCCTCAAAACTAAAACATAGATATTGCCAAATCTCAAACCATTAGGGTGGACTATGAGAGCCAGTAGAGCGTTCGTCTTTCCACAATTAGTAATAGATGTCCATGACGCCTTTTCTCACTCTTCTTCTTTTGCGTTAGGTTATCAAAATCCATTATTGGAAGTTTTGTATTCTGATTCTTGAAATTCATGGTTAATGACTGATCAGAAATCTATAAATATCGCCCATTTATAGATATCGGTGACATTCATTCGTTAGTAGTTGGCGTTGGATCATCATCACAGCCGCCCTGTCTTGAAAGCATACCCATGTTCAATCATGTCTCAGCGAATCATCTAGTTCCATATCCCTCCATGTTCTAGCAATGACTGGCACAGACACTTATAATTACATACTATTTATCCCATCACACATCAGTTCTCATTTGGATATGAAAGGATACAAACGCAGGAGAAGGCGTTAAGGTAGAGGTTTACTGAACAGTCTCATTAACAAACTTCCTGTTGAATTACATATACCAGGCTACCAGTATTGTGGTCCTGGGACAAAACTACAAAAACGATTGGAGCGAGGTGATCCTGGTATAAATCCACCTGACGCAGCCTGTAAAGAGCACAATATAGCCTACTCGAAAAATCGAGATAACCTAACTGCGCGACACGAAGCGGACAAAATTCTTACAGAGAGAGAGCCTGTAAACGAGTTTTATCGAAGGACGCAAGTTTGGCCAAATAAGCTGCTGCTTGGGGTGTGGCTAATACTATGAAAGCCGAAACCTCCCTCGGAATGGGTATAAAAAAAATTCGCGGCAAAGGTGTTGCGAAAAGAAAAACAAAAAAAAGGAAACGTGGTGGCGCTATAAAGAGGAAAAAGAAAGTCTCCTTGAGACAAATCATTCGAGCTGCTAAGACGTCTACGCGTCCGGGTACCGATGCTATCAAATCGGCTCTCAAAGGCGCACGTGAAGCAGTGAAGGAAATTGGTGGTAGAAAGCGAGTGCAATCACCTCGTATCTTACCTGTACCAACCAAAATTGGGGGTGTATTACCCTTCCTCATACCTCTTTTTGCCGGGTTGAGTGCCACTGGAGCATTGGCTGGTGGCGCTGCTGGCATTGCCAAAGCCACTAATGATGCTAATGCGGCTAAGAAAGCGTTACAAGACAGGATGAGACATAACCAAAAAATTGAAGCAATTGCATCGGGCAAGGGCTTATACTTGAAACCTTATAAAAAAAGTATAGGGCTTCATTTAAAAAACGCATAAGGCTACCACACCGAGCCCTCACCGACGTTGATTTATTAAAATATACCAAAGCCATGAAAATTCCACACTTTCGTGGAGTATACATGAGAAACGAAATGCCCAAGACTGGTCCACACAAATACGAATCAGCCATAATTAATCTTGATGATAAAGATGGACCTGGTACGCATTAGGTTGCATACAAAAAGCGAAAAAATAAAATTCTCTATTTCGACAGCTTTGGTAATCTTCAACCTCCTCAAGATGTGATGAATTATTTCGGTGTTGGTAGCATTGTACAATATAATCATGAACGATATCAAGAGTATGATACAGTGATATGTGGGCATTTATGTCTGAAATTTATCGATGGAGAATTGATATAAAATCTGAACACATCGCTTCATAGACATCAGTTGAATGTTAACGATGATGAGTGAATTTTTCACCTTAACTCTATCAGGCACTTCCTCAGTGCTGGAGGCTCATTATTTTCCTCCTATCGAATTATCACCATTGAAGAGTTACGCTCTGGGACTCGCTGAACTACTAACTTTCAATTCGATTCCCAACATCGACATTGAAAATAATAAATTCTATGTCAGTGACAAAGTCATTGAGATACCTACAGGAAGCTATGAAATTGAAGATATCGAAAATTACTTGGAGGAGAAACTTGCTGAATATG